TCAGGTGCCGTAGGGTGTAATTTGTTGTCTACGACCTTTCATGAGCTCTGTAATCTCTGTATCCTATGACATTGCTCGATACCTTCTTACACTATGTTGGACTTGTACGTTTCAATGTTAATTTACTCTAAATAAAATAAGTACTCTTGTTGTTCTACATAAACCAATGTATCTATGAATATTGACCATGTTCATTTTAATTACTTTTTTTAATCAATTGCCAAATACACCAATGTCTAAATTTGTTTACGTCTGTAAAAACAAGATTTTAGGTTGGGATTATGCCATTAAGAATTTCAAAATATAAAAGAGAATGTGTATATTTTATTGATTTTAACAGATTATATTTGCCAGGCTCAGGAATCTTGTGTTGTGAGATTATGTTATTCCTCGGTGTATATTTTAATTTTTCTACCGCAGGTGGTGTCCTTAGTATTCTAACATTAATTAACACAATTACCAAATAACAAATATATCTTCTATTTCTTTCTTCCACTCAGAATTAACACCACAACATTATCAAACGTCACCAGCTAAGTCAAATACAATGCATATTTAAACCCAACCCATCACATTTTAAATTTGGAAAATCTAAAGAATTGAGAAAGCTATTTTTGTTGAAAATATTACGATTAACTCATCCTGGCGTAAAGTCTACATTTCCGAGTCAACACCTTTTTCACACCGTTGAGCTCTTCTCATTCACACAGACAGGGCTGGCGTATGTCAAATGTATAATGTAATTAACACACAGTTGTATATATGAAACTTCAATACTGATAACCTAAGTTATTTATAATATTAGATGCTTAAATTCATCAAAATATAAAAGATTTACATGTTTAAAGTCTTATTTAATAAAATAGGTACTTAAAATCATTGATGATTAGGTTAACGAAGTTGACAATTGACCAGAAGGTATAGTTGACCTCACACAATGGTAAGAAGAGTAATGTGTTTTTCCTATTGCATTTAACATTGCATTAGGAACATTGAATCCCTATGAACATTAATTATATGAATGTTAATTGAAAACTGTGTTGTTCCGTATTCAAGCGCTACCTAGATATTTCCAGACGTTTCATATCATAAAATAACCTTTGTCCTGTCACGTGATGTCTGGAAACCCCAATCTCGCCCCAGTTCTCTTGCATTCATGCAACTACTAACATGTCCCCGGCACAATTAACTCCCAATTGCTGCTCTCATCTCTTAACCCCAAAGTATATTTAATTATTATTAGTGACACATATTAAAAGTGAACTATTGAACATTTGTGAAGTGAAACACTACTACTGCCGGTCCGGGTCTGTGTACGAGCAATACGCAATAGCTGGCCAGCAGAAGAAACTCGTGTACGTCTACCGGCTTCGTCTTCTCAACACTTCAGTTAAAAGGAAGGTACCTCATCAATCTCATTATTGTCTGTTAAATAATTAGTGACAATTTTTTAATATTGCTCTTTCACTATACAGTCCATTTGAACATTTTTAGGCAAGTTTACCCCCCATCCGCTGGTCCTGTCGAGTCGGACGAAAATCTTATCATTAATAATATATTGTGCTTTTATTAGCCTAGCTACTGTAACTGTTAAAATTGTACAACTAAACTCTTAAAAGTGTCACTTCTCTAAATAATTAGAGCAGTATTTGTATTCTCCATTACTATTTTTGGTGAATAAATAATATTTTATTCCATTCCCCTGTGCCATCTCAGACGTGAATATTTCATGTTAGTTTCATGTTCATGTCCTCCCACTGCTACATGAATCACGTCATATTTCCTTTCAAATAGTTATTTGAAATCAGGAATTAGTTAGGATATTTAATATTTTCTCTAAGTTTCTCAATCAATTCACCGTATCAATTATTGTCATTAACAATAATTTTGTCTGCACTTTGTTTCGTCCTTAATTTTCTAACATATTTTCACTTATCAGAAAGTCAGCCATTTTATATTTTCTGTCCTTGCGATGCACCTTGGTAGCGAACTTCTCCACTAGAGCGCTCTGCCTACAGCCTGCACGTCGCAAGAACCAATGAGCGTCGAGATTCGTAAAACAGAATAAATCGCCCAATGATATTGCTTCTTCAAATTGATCATATGTAAAACTCAGCTTCAAGCACAGGAAATCAGCTGACTGAATATAAAACACACTCCAGCTACATACAGCTGTGTGAATTGAATCAAAATATAAACGTAACCTTCAAGTTTATTTACATCTTGGAAAATATTGTTTTGTGTGAATATTAAACGAAATATTAGTGGTTGAATCGATTCTTGTCTACATTAAGGATATTGCTCATAATAAATACTTCCCTACTCAATATATTCTGCGAAAATACTGATTCAAATTAAATGACTTGTATTAAATAGACTTTACTTTTATTTACTATGTCTATCCTGGGTCTGATGGTAAAGTGAAATATAATTTTACATTCATTATTTCTTATAGAGTGAATGTAAATGAATTGATTTATTCTGAGCTATTAATTTGCATTATTGTTAGGTCTAAGACTTGGAGTTATTTTGATATTTAGGTGTTGGTGAATATTTACGTAGGCCTAAACTTATGATAAACTTAGGCCTATAGCTTACTCTTTTGATTACATAAATGGTCTGTTAAAATGAGATTCTCTACACTAGAGAAAAAGGCAAAACTTGTCAAAAATAGGCTTCAGAAAATAAGCAAGTTTGTGTCAGCCCAAATTACTCTCTCAGAAACTCAATCCTTAAATGTTGTTTCCATTCAGCGCTTACACAACTATGATGATGAAGTTAGAGGTTTATTCTCTGATTTTAAAGCTTTATTCGATAAAGTGGTTTATGATGATCCTGGTTCTGATTATGACGAAACTGAAGCATGCTCTATGCAAGATGAAATTTCGGACTTGTACATTTCTCTGATCAGTGACTTGAAAATAGTGTTACCTGCTAAAACTAAAGAAGTAACACCTCCCACCCAACCATCTCTGCGACTGCCCAAATTTGAGTTGCCCAAATTCAGCGGTAACTACGAAGAATGGGTTAGCTACTACAATATTTTTGAGGCTTCTATTAATAGGAATGAAACTTTGGCCCCTGTGAGTAAGTTCCAATATCTGCTTAGTTCTTTAAGTGGTGAACCCTTATATTTAGTAAAGAGCTTAAGCATAACTGCAGAAAACTTTGATGTTGCACTTAGGCTGCTTAAGGATCGCTATGATAACAAAAGGCGTGTTGTAACTCAGCTTGTTACAAAAATCATTGATTTGCCATGCATAAGTAGTGGTTCTCTCAAAAGTCTCCAACATTTTCTCACAGTTTATAAAGAGAACACTCAAGTTTTGAAAAATCTCAACCATGACATAACAGCTGAAAATACTCTGCTTGTCCTAACGCTTTTGAAAAAGTTACCTACTGATTTAAGAAAATCTTTTGAGGATTCTCGCATCACAAACAATGACATACCTGCAGTAAATGATCTAATTCAATTCCTTGAAAGAGAATTTAAACGATTAGAAGGAGCTAGTATCGGTCTTGGTCCCTCAGCTAACGCAAGATACCCTTCAGTGCAAAAGACTCAATCTAATAGTTATAGGCCTAAACCTCTTCGAGATAGTAAACCTTACTCCTCTCAAGCTAAAACAGCTTTCGTCACAGTGACTAACACTTGTTTTGTCAAGCATCCGATCACAATATATACAAGTGTCAAGCCTTTCAGGCTAAAAGTAGAGGTGATAGAGTTGAATTCACTTGTAAAAATAATCTATGCGCCAACTGCCTAGGCCATCTACATGATACTAATAACTGTCCTTCTCATAGAGTGTGTCGAATTTGTTCAAAGCGACATCACACTCTCTTACATGACTCAACTCCCACACAACAGCAGCCAAGTTACCCAACCAAGGTTTTTGAAAAAAAATATGGTAAGCCGCCTACAAATAACGCACCCCAAAGCCATGTCACCGCACCAGTGAATAAAAGTGCTCTTGTAGGATTGTCTAGCCAGTTAAACCCAACTAAAACAACAATTTTACTTGGAACATGTTTAGTTCAGGTGTTTACCAAAGATGGTCAGCAAACTGTACTCCGTGCTGTGCTCGACTCTGCATCTCAACTTACATTGATATCTGAAAGAGCTGTTCAGCTCATCAGTGCCTCCCGTACTCGAGCACATGATGAAATCCAAGGAATTTCTGGCTCACTAATTCATTCTAGAGGAATAGTGCACATTGATATATCTGCAGTTAATGGTCAACGCTTAGCCTACCATCATCCATGCTTGGTTTTGAATCGTATCACTTCACCACTGCCTCAGATCCCAGTCTCACCTCAAGTGAAGGGATCTTTAAATGATTTCGTTCTTGCAGACCCCTGTTTTGACAAACCTGGAGAAATTGATCTATTGATCGGAGCTGATTTATTCGCTCTCTCACTGACTGGTGAGCAGCACTTCTTAGGCCATAACCTGCCCCAAGTTTTAGGAACTATATTCGGATTTGTTGTAATGGGCATAGCTCCTGTTGCTACATCTGAGTTATCAATCCCAAAAACTGTTTCTTTTCTCACTACACATGATGGAGACCTTCACAGTTCACTTCAAAGGTTTTGGTCAATCGAAGAACCCCCGACATGTGTCAAGACTCAGTCAGAAGAAGATGTTCTCTGCTTACAGCATTTTGAAAGAACCCATACACGTGATAACTCTGGTCGATATGTTGTTAAGTTACCGAAAAGACCAAATCATCCACTATTAGGTGAATCTTGTAGTACAGCTCAACTTAGACTTAAAGCGATGGAAAGAAAATTCGCTGCTCAGCCCGAATTCAAAGATTTATACTCCGAATTTATGGATGACTACATCAAATCAGGTCACATGAGTGCAACCCCTTTCTGGTGAATGTTACTATTTACCCCACCATGGAGTATTTAAGGAGAATCCCCCTAATTCCAAAATACGAGTCGTATTTGATGGTAGTTCCAAAACAAACAATGGCGTCTCCCTAAACGATATCCTCATGCCTGGCCCTAAGTTGCAGAATGATATTAGTGATGTCTTGCTGTACTTTAGGTGTCACAAGTTTGTGTTCACTTGTGATATACGACAGATGTATCGCCAGATTCTGGTGGCTGAAGATGACAAGAAATATCAGTTAATCTTTTGGCGATCCAACCCTGATGAATCCCTTCAAGTCTTAAAGCTAAATACCGTCACCTACGGTCTCAACTGTTCCCCGTTCATTGCGATCAGAACATTACAACAATTGGTCAAAGATGAGGGTCACTCATACCCCAAGGCGTCTGAGATTCTAACTAAATCAATATTTTATGACGACATCATCGCTGGAGCAGAAAGTCTTGATGAAGCTTTGTCTGCACAGAATGAACTCAAGAACTTGCTCGCTAGAGGAGGTTTTGAACTCCGAAAATGGATTAGCAACGCACCCCAACTATTGGACCAAGTCCCAATTGAACACAAAGAGACTCCAGTGGAGTTAACTGAAAATAGTGAAGCCTTCTTCAGTGTCCTAGGTCTAAAATGGACTCCAGAGTCTGACATGCTTTCTTACAAGGTTAAGGATGTTGAAATAAGTGCTATACTTACAAAGAGAAGAATATTATCTACAATCGCTAAACTGTACGATTTACCAGGATTTCCAGAAAATTACGGGTGTAAGAATTACACCCGTAATTTTCTGGGCAAAAACACTTATTCAGTATCTCTGGACAACAGGGCTAACTTGGGATGAACCTGTTCCAAATGATGTTAGAACCAAGTGGCATTCATTCTTAGAAGAACTCCCAATAATTCAAGAATTAAGAATTCCACGCTACATTTCTACTTCTCTGCATACGGCTGTGCAACTCCACGGCTTCAGCGATGCTTCAGAGAAAGGCTACGCTGCTGTTGTCTACCTTCGTGTCACTGACTCTCAAGAGAATACAAGGCTCTATCTCATCGTCTCTAAATCAAAAGTCGCTCCTTTGAAAAGAATTTCTCTGCCACGGCTTGAACTTTGTGGCGCTCACTTACTGGGAAAACTTCTTCAATATTCTTCAAACATACTCTCTGCTCATATGAAGATTGAATCAATCTATGCTTGGTGTGACTCCATAATTGTCCTAACCTGGATACGTACTCTTCCATACCGCTTGAAAGTCTTCATTGCCAATCGTATTTCAGAACTCCAAGAATTGGTCTCTCCTCACTCATGGAATTATGTCAAATCTCAAGACAACCCGGCAGATTGCGCCACTCGTGGTCTTTCACCCTCTCAACTTGTGACTCACCATTTATGGTGGAATGGACCGGAATGGTTACAGTCATCGTCAGATTCTTGGCCTAAGCCAAAATTCACACCTGTTATTGATGATGACACTCTTGAAATAAGGCCAAATCCTCTAAACGTTCTAGCAACCACAGAGAAGATTAAACTCACTGATTTTGATATACTAGAAAAATATTCATGTTTCAGGAAACTTGTAAATGTCATGGCATATATATTGCGATTCATTCATAATCTGCAAGCCAATGATCCCCGCATCGGACGACTTACTTGCCAAGAAACTTCTTCAGCGAAATTAAGAATTTTCAAACTCATACAAAATACATCGTTTAAGGATGACATCTCTGCTCTCAAAAAGGGATCTCAATGCAGCTTAAAACTTGCTCGTTTATCCCCATATATTGATGACAGTGGAATAGTGCGAGTAGGCGGCAGGTTGAAACATTCCAACCTTACACAAGATGCGAAACATCCAGTTTTGTTACCTAAATCTCACTGTGCTGTCAAACTGTTGATTATGCATTATCACCTAAAGCATCTACACGCAGGCCCTCAATTGCTGCAGTCTATTCTGTCTCAAGAGGTTTGGATATTATCAGCCCGCAGCGTGATAAGATCTGTGATTTTCAAGTGTCAAAGATGTTTCAGACTTAAGCCTGTAAACAAACCTCCACTGATGGGAGATCTTCCTGAAACTCGATTAAAACCTGTAAGGCCATTCTATCACACTGGCATGGACTATAGTGGACATTTTGACATTAAAGTTCATTCAACTAGGAACGCTCAACGGTTAAAATCATACCTCTGCCTCTTTGTATGTTTTGCTACGAAAGCTGTGCACCTAGAAATTGTAACAGACCTATCTGTAGACTCCTTCATAGCTGCACTAAAACGTTTTGTTTCTCGTCGTGGATTGTGTGCCCACTTATACTCAGATTGCGGAACTAACTATGTTGGAGCCTCAAAGCAACTCATGAAAACCTTTCAGAATTTCATCAAGGAATCAAACACTAAAGATGCTCTTAACAACTTCGCGTTGGATCACTCAATAAATTTTCACTTTCAACCACCAGCCGCTCCCCACCAAGGAGGCCTATGGGAGAGTGCTATAAAAAGTTCTAAATATCATCTGAAAAGAGTCATAGGCGATAGAGTTCTAACACTAATGGAAATAATAACACTCGCTACACAGGTGGAGGCTGTACTAAACTCGAGGCCCTTAACAGCGTTATCCGCTGATCCATCTGACATCTCAGCCCTTACTCCGGGTCATTTTCTTATCGGCACTTCTCTTGTGGCAGTACCGGAACCAAATCTTGAAGAAGTTCCCGAAAATCGTCTCAACCATTGGCAAACTGTACAAGCCCTACATCAACGCTTCTGGCGACGTTGGCATCAAGAATATTTACATCAGCTACAACAAAGAAAGAAATGGCAAAAGCCCAACAAGAATCTAGAAGTGGGTGATCTCGTTATAATTCAGGACCCTAGAACACCACCGCTACTTTGGCCTCTTGGACGCATAGTGAAGACTTCGCCTGGATCAGACGGCATCGTCCGAGTTGTCACCATCAAGACTCAGCGAGGAACCTTCTGTCGTCCTGCTACCAAGGTGTACCCGCTCCCCTGATCTCATTATCAGACCAAACAAAATGTTTATTCTATTTTCAAACATATTTCTATTTCAATGTTATGTATATATATTTAATCTATGTTTCTTATATTTCAATGTCAATCTTTATTCATTATGTGTCACTTTGTAACTTTCTCAATGTTTTGAACCATGTACGGTTCAAGGCGGGCGGCATGTTCCGTATTCAAGCGCTACCTAGATATTTCCAGACGTTTCATATCATACAATAACCTTTGTCCTGTCACGTGATGTCTGGAAACCCCAATCTCGCCCCAGTTCTCTTGCATTCATGCAACTACTAACATGTCCCCGGCACAATTAACTCCCAATTGCTGCTCTCATCTCTTAACCCCAAAGTATATTTAATTATTATTAGTGACACATATTAAAAGTGAACTATTGAACATTTGTGAAGTGAAACACTACTACTGCCGGTCCGGGTCTGTGTACGAGCAATACGCAATAGCTGGCCAGCAGAAGAAACTCGTGTACGTCTACCGGCTTCGTCTTCTCAACACTTCAGTTAAAAGGAAGGTACCTCATCAATCTCATTATTGTCTGTTAAATAATTAGTGACAATTTTTTAATATTGCTCTTTCACTATACAGTCCATTTGAACATTTTTAGGCAAGTTTACCCCCCATGTGTTATTTCTTGGAATCACGTTGAAAATCGCCCTTTTCATAATACAAGAACCTACAATGCAATTGGCCATATAATTCATAATATAAAAGGTTTAATATACCTGTTGCGTCGATTGATCCTTAAGTTGTAAAATAACTACGGCCGTTTCGTGCTGCTAAGCGAGCACATGTTCAGATTGTAGGAACGTTAAAATACAGTCCTCTCATCCGTGGATGGAGTCGTCAGCAATATATAATTCCTTCTACGAGGGATGGATCTTTTTATGGTTATAAAACCAATCTGTTTAATCCTGAAGAGTTCCCAATCGCGTCAATGTAAACAACATTTCAGTTCCAATTGAATGAACACGTGATGTGGCTGCCTTTCTGCTGTAGTGAAACAGACTTATCTAGCAGAACGTACAATGTTTACATGCAATTTACATGGGGTTGTATGTTCTATGGGTTTCGTTGGACTAACATATGTGAATAAAAAAACATACCGTTGGTAAATTGATTTTAGCGGATTGCTCTAAGTTAATTGGTATTTTGTGGTTGTATTAAATATTACTAGTGGTCGTCCTGTGGTCGAAACTCGACCAAAAATAATTAATGTACAGACCTCTCTATTTTCTTCCCACACTGTAAAAAAACATGTGATTGAAATTTCTTCCATTTGTTTTGATTTTCTGTTTACATTTTGTTGTTATTTCATCACCATCATGGCAACCCATATGGTCCATGTTAATTTTTTGAAGTTTTCAAATTAATTTTTTGTTCTTATTTGTTAGCCTATTTTAATTTTTAAAAGCATTCTGCACATCTACAGGAAAATATCTTTCCAACAGTATGCGTAGATTTTTCCTGCGATGCACACGAGCTGAGAAAAAAGGTTTTAAAGAAACATGCTTGCCTATTAATATATAGATAGATAGATATTAAAGGTTTCATTATAGGTCAATATGTAGAGAGAGGTATAAATATATCACCAGATAATAGAATGTGTGCATACTCATGTAAAACTGTAACCAAATAACTATATTTTGAAATTGGGGACAGTCTTTAAATGCATCCCATATAAATGTAAAGATGTAGGAAATAGAAAATAAATAATTGTTGTTTTACGATTATTGACATTGAACTCCGTTCGCCATTATTCTTAATTTTCTTATCTCCAACTTTATGGAACTTATTTGAAATAATTTACCTTTTATAACTCAAATTATTTCTTCTTTAAGTCGCTTAAAGGGATCTAAGAAAAATTTAAGTTGATTTTATTTTGTTGTTTTGCAATGTGTTTTTAATTTTTTAATTCTTTTTTAGTTTGGGAAGGATCTTCCATCTATGATGGGATTCCTAACATAAGATTAACATGGGGGAATCTAAATATTAAATTGGAAACGTTGTCTCCACTAATTCGAGAGAACGGCTGGGCGTAGAAACTTGGTAGAGGTGTCAAAAGAAAGTTCTCGGTCTGTAGATGAACCATCAAAAGAAAAACGAAGGAAATTCCCTTATATACGCACGCGTGATTCCCGCGTATCGCAAATCATGGACCACGCAATAACGCAGCGTGGTTCAGAGAAACCAAGGCTTTAGGGCTCTGCCGCAAAAGCCCTTAAAGTTCCCTTCCCAGATTTGTTTACATTATCGTCATATGGATAATGCTTCACTACTTTTTAATAAAACGGCTGTTGATATTTAAATTGTATTTTAAACTAGGTGGCGTTTGCAGAGGCATCCACAAAATTGAGCGGAGCCATCAAGAGTTTATATTATATTGTTTTGGTCATACTACAGTAATACCAGTTGTTTTTAAAGCATGCGTTGCGGGTCTAAAGTAGCATTTTTACTCTTTAGGAAGTAAAAATAGTTTGTATCCTCTATGGAGTAAAAATCAGCTGTTGTCAACTCAGTTGTAAATTTCTATATTGTAAAAGATTGCATGAATCGAAATATGTATCGATTCGTGCTTCGTAGTTATTTTAACCTACAGTCTACAGTCTCTTCCCATAGCCTTTTAGCATTGCAGATACATTAATCCATTCCCACACTCAACACGCTCACCTTTACTACTTCCTTCACCACCCTCAACATCGTGGACCTGTTTCCCTCTCTTCCCATAGCATTTTAGGATTGCAGATACATTAATGTAATTGCCAAAGATAGTTCCCACACTCTGCACTGCAAGCCTTACTACTTCCTTCACCATTTCCTACGTCAGAGACTTGTTTCCTTCCCTTCTCATAGCATTTTTGGATTAAAGATACATCAATCTAACTACCACAGACAGTTTTCACACTATGTTCATACTTTACTACTTTCTAAGCCATTTCCTACATCGTGGACCTGTTTTCACCACTTTCCATAGCAATTTAGTATTTTAGATACGTTAATCTAATTGCCACAAACATTCCCCACACTCCGCACTGCTAGCCTTTACTACTACTTTCACCATTTTCTACGTCGTGGGCATGCTTCCATCCCTTCACATAGCATTTCAGCATTGCAGATACGTTAATCTAACTGCTACAAACGGTTTCCAGTTCCCACACTCCACACTGCTCACCTTACTACTTCCTTCACCTCTTCTTACGTCGCGGACCTGTTTCCCTCTCTTCCCATAGAATTTTAAGATTGTAGATACCTTAATCTAATCGTCATAAACAGATCCCACACTCCGGACAGCTCACCTTGACGACTGCCTTCATCAATTCATACGTCTCGGACCTTTTCTCTCCCTTCCCATAGCATTTTAGGATTGCAGATCCCTTAATCTAATCGTCATAAACAGTTCCCACACTCCGGACTGCTCGCATTTACTACTTCCTTCACCACTTCCTACGTCACAGACCTGTTTACCTCCCTTCCCATAGCATTTTAGGATTGCAGATACCTCAATCTAATCGTCATAACCAGTTCCCACACTCCGGACAGCTTGCCTTGACTACTTCCTTCATCACTTCCTACGTCGCGGACCCGTTTTCTTCCCTTCCAATAGCATTTTATGATTGCAGATACCTTAATCTAATTGTCATAACCAGTTCCCACACTCCGGACTGCTCGCCTTTACTACTTCCTTCACCACTTCTGACGTCGCGGACCTGTTTCCCTCCCTACTCATAGCACCATAGGATTGTAAATACCTTAATCTAATGGTCATAAACAGTTCCCACTCTCCAGACTTCTCGTATTTACTACTTCCTTCACCACTTCCTACGTCACGGACCTGTTTACCTCCCTTCCCATAGCATTTTATGATTGCAGATACCTTTATCTAATCGTCATAAACAGTTCCAACACTCCGGACTGCTCGCCTTTACTACTTACTTCACTACTTCTTACGCCACAACCCTGTTTACCTCCCTTCCCGTATAATTTTTAGAATGCAGATACCTAAATCTAATCGTGATAAACGGTTCCCACACTCCGGACTGCTCGCCTTTACTACTTCCTTCACCACTTCATACGTAGCAGACCTGTTTCCCTCCCTTCCCATAGCATCATAGGATTGCAATGCCTTAATCTAATGGTAATAAACAGTTCCCACATTCCGGACTGCTCGCATTTAATACTTCCTTCACCACTTCCTACGTCACGGACCCGTTTACCTCCCTTCCCAAAGCATTTTATTATTGCAGATACCTTAATCTAATCGTCATTAACAGTTCCCGCACTCCGGACTGCTCGCCTTTACTACTTCCTTCACCACTTCCTACGTAGCAGACCTGTTTCCCTCCCTTCCCATAGCATCATAGGATTGCAATGCCTTAATCTAAGGCCCCGTTTATGCACCAAGTGCGGGAGCGGTGCGATAGCGGGCCCGCTCCCGCTGTAAATGAGTCTGTTTATGCACGAAGAGCGATAGCGGTAGCGGTTGGTTAAAGGAGAATGGAAGGGGGACACAGTCTTGCCAACTCAAACTCTGCCAAATAATTAACACAACTATTTGTCCTTAGTGCACGTGCGCGTGGGTCAAGTTGGCAACCCTGGCTTCAGCCCAAGCAACCGCTGCGATTCCTAACTACAAAGCGGGCGAATTAGAAATCGCAGCGGGAGGTCAACCGCTATCGCTATCGCTCTTGGTGCATAAACAGCCCCATTTAACTCAATGGTGTTAGAAATCGCTCCCGCTGTCGCTACCGCTACCGCACTTGGTGCATAAACGGGGCCTAATGGTCATAAACAGTTTCCACACTCCGGACTGCTCGCATTTACTACTTCCTTCACCACTTCCTACGTCACAGACCTGTTTACCTTCCTTCCCATAGCATTTTATGATTGCAGATACCTTAATCTAATGGTCATAAACAGTTCCCACACTCCGGACTGCTCGTATTTACTACTTCCTTTACCACTTCCTACGTAGCGGAC